AAATTCATCTCACTTAAAAGTAGCATATACGATACCCAAGAAATTTCTGCAAAGACAGGGTATACTCTCACACAGCATGCAGCAACCAAGGACATAGTTCATGAAAACTAGATTAGTAGATCAAATAGAAATGGTGGCAGTAAGTAGTCATGGCATACACAATATTATGGCTTAATATAGTGCTAATGTCACAAATGTCTAAACACTGTCCTCAAATGATCTTCAAGGTAAAATAGGCCCCTGATGGCCTCAGTGTATAAGCATCTGCAGATCTTAGGGAACCAGTGACCCACCTGGTTCAAATTGGTATACTACCTACTGCTCTATTCTTAAGAACACCTATTCATGCCTTGGGAAGCTTTCCAGGTATAGACTGGAGAGGATGCTCAGAGACTCCCCACCCTGATCAGAGTTGAATTTAGTCATTTTCTTGAATACATGCACAGTGCTTCCTAAGACATCACAATAGTCATGTATGCAATTGTTTTTTAAATAACTCATAGAATAGCACCCTTTACCTCATTCTCTCAAACCTCAGCCACAGCATTCATGCGCTAATTCAGGAAGTAGTTACCTGGAGCTTGTTATCTACCAGGCACTGTACCAGGTACTGGGGGCGACTAAAAAAGAATCCATTTGTCTCTATTTTCAAGGTCTTTTACACTGTCTCCCATTCCACTCCCCACCTCCTCAAACCCACCCACCCACCATCCAAAAAATAAAACCCCTTCTTTTCAACTCCTCCTGAAAGTCCTAAAAGTCAAGGTTGGTAGTTGGTTCCAGATTCATACTAAGGTTCACAGCTAAAATTTATTTCCATATTGGGTTAGAAAACACCATCCCATCTGCATCAGTTAAGCCTCTCCCATTCTCTCACCCCAAGGCAAACAACATTTTTTAAAAATATATACAAAGCAGAGAATGAACATCTGGAAGATGATATCAGCATGACTCTTCAGTTGCAAAAAGGGAAAACTACTCCTAGTCAAATGACAAAAAAAAAAAAAAGCAATCTGAAAGTCTGGCAATACTTTTCCTTTCTTCCACAGGACCAGACTTCGAATACAGCAGAATGAGTTCTTCTATCTTAAATCCTTATTTGCAGACTTCTTATTTACAAACAACAGTTGGACTAGACATATGACGTTATTATAGGTTTTGATTCTCAGCTGGAGTCAGCCCCAAGTCTGTAACAGCAGGGCAGCAACTGAGTTTTCACTGCCTTCTTACCCCTGAGCCCCTACCTAACCACCACCGAGCACCCATCCCTACTGAACGCCCATCAGGTGCCAGCCACTATCCAAACTATAAAGCTCTTCAGGGACCTTGTATTCTTGTAAGGGTAATATGCACGAATTAAATAAAAGTACAAGTTATACACTGTTGGAAAAGGATAAATGCTCTAGGTAAACCTGAAAGCAGAAAAGGGAATATGAAATTCTGGGGATGGTGAGTGGACTACAGGTGGTCAGGGATATCCTTCCCAAGAAGGCAACATCTGAACAAAGACTGAAGGAGGAGGGAGTGGACTGGATATTTGGGGCAAGACACTTCCATGCAGAAGGAGCAGCATGTGTAAAGGCTCTGAGTGTGAGGGGTGCCTGATACCTTTGAGAAATAGCCAGTAAGCCGGCATGGCTGCAAGTATGGGTGAGTGTGCTGAAGAATGAGGTCGAAGAGGCAGTGGGGGTAGGCAGAACAAAGGGACCCTTCATATCTTTAACATTAATAGCAATACTAGTAATAAACAGTAGTGAATTGTAAGGTAGTTGGTGTTTATTGAGCTTTTACTATGTGCTAAGTGCAATTCCAGATGGGTTATGTGTATTACCTCCTTAAAAATGCAAAACAATTGGTTCTTCTGCAGTAGATCCAAAACTCTATAGGAAAGGTTTCCCTGGAAATCTTTTTTTTCCCCCTGCTCTAACATGACTAAAATCTTTGCTAAATGATGCAATTAATTTAACTTCCTTATGCATCTTAAAAATAAAAACATAATTCACCCTGGCTGATGTGGCTCTGTGGATTGAATGCTGACCTGCGAACTAAGGGGTCATCAATTCAATTCCAAGTCAGGGCACATGCCTGGGTTGTGGGCCAGGTCCCAGGTAGGAGGTACGTGAGAGTCAACCACACATTGATGTTTCTCTCCCTCTCTTTCTCTCTCTCTTCCCCTCTCTCTAAAAATAAATAAATAAAATCTTTAAAAATAAATATAAACATAATTCTTTGTAAATGTCATATGTCTTGCTTATTTTCATGTCATAGTATTTTTTAACACAATTTTCAAGTTCATGTCAGTACTACAAGGTTAAAGGGACCAATTTATGTGATGAAAAGTTAATAAATACAGTTTGAGACACTATTCAGAGTTCAAACCCTGCTTTAATAACATCCTTTGATTTGTTCAATGAATCCTTGAACATAAAGTCTTCTTTTTCTGAAATATATAGGTATAACTTGATGTTCAAGTGTTACAAATCATATCTACTGGAGCCAAAAGATATGGAACATATTGTTCTTCTGGCACATTCCCTTCTTCTGCTGTACTTCATTTAAAAGGCATCCTTGCAAATAGAAAGCATGCCAAGAGAGCTTACTAAACTTACTAAGAGGGCTTACTAAACAAAATTGATTAGTGGAAGCACCAGATGTCCCATCATAAAGAACTTTGGTAAACTTTTATTACTTAGTTTTCCTTAATTAGAAAGTAATTTGAAAATACCTCCCAAACACACCAAAAAGAGATTGTTCAGTTCAACCCGAGAAACATTTATTGAGCACCTTTGTCAGGCGCTAGGAAGATGAAGACAATCCCAGGTGCTCCCCTTGAGAATCTGCAGTCTACAGCGCTGATAGGATCTCAGACCTTGGAGATGGAGAGAAGTTTGGACAAGTGCACACAATGATACAGAGGGTGCCAGATTGAACTTGTGTTTACTTTTTAAGGAGTCGCTCACCAAAAACAGCAGATATCAGCTTAAGAAGAGTGAACTTCTAATATTCTAATATTACATTGTCTACAGCACAGAAGGTAGCACTTTATCATAATCCTAACATTATAAAGTGTTTCTACCATCTCAAAACTGATTCGAATCAGAATTACATGGGGGGACTTATGAAAGGCGTATTTTCCCAGGCCCCGCCCTTTGGAAATTCTGTTCACAATATTGCGCTGGGGCTTTACGAAGCTCTGGGAGAGAGTGGCGGTCTGGCAGCGCTGGGGAGGCAAGAAGCACCAGACGAGGCTGACTCCAAGATCAATGAAGGTAAAATGGAATGAATGGTGTCTTCTCACCAGAAAACAGACTGCTAAGTGAGCCTGCTCTCTGATCTTCTAAACACCGAGAACACTAGTGTACTGATAACACCATCCAGTTGCACAGCCAGCAGCATGTCTCACAACCTGAAATACGGGTGCACGCTGCAGTTTATGAAAACTTGAAAAATAAGTGACTAAGGGCTAATTAGGGAAATCACACATGTGAGAAATTTCCAAAAATCACTGACTACGCTTCTTCACTCAAGAGGTATCAGAACTGGAGTTTCTAGATTTTTTTTTCAATAAATGCTCCAAATCTATGTTTAACTTTCTTTGTGATTAGGATGTTTCATGGAAATTGAATTGACAATTTCTTCTTTCCTTAAGTCATCTGCAGTAGTCTCAAATTGGAGGCCCGGTAAGAATCAGAGCAATCACACCACTGCTCTGCAAAGTACCCAGTTAACAGCGTGGACGACCGTATGGCATCTGACGCTTCATTTGTAAAGATGGGCGACAGTTTCGGATGGATTAGTACAGAGACACATTGTTGGATTGATTCACAGACATGCGGTATTAAACGTGCATCTTCAAATAGGAACTTGAGAAACATTTTTAATGCTTGAAACACCCATGATCGAAAATCCCACACACTTATCAAGATTTTATACTATGCCTACCATTTTACTCTGCTAAAGTGGTAAGACAGATCTCGTCTAAGCCTTAGCCTTAAAAAAAAAATAACAAATTGGTATGTCAGCAAACTTAGTAACCACTATCACCAACATCATGGGTATAAATGTTTCGGGCTGAGAATGGATACATTGTTCAGTGAAAAGGGAAAAAAAAGCATTGGGTTAAGTTTTGATTTTTGACTCATTAGAAAACACGGGGTGGGGAGCTGTCAAAATATTCTGGACAGATTCACTGCTGTGTACTAACCCTTATTGTAGGGGAGGAGGGGATCAAGAACTTTTAAAACTCCGCAGAAAGCTGCCCCTTGCTATCAAAAGAACTAATGAGCAAGGATTTGCCTGGACTGGTAAACGGTTTGCTGATTTAATCTGGTGGAAATGCAAAGGTAAACTCGGTGTGGGCTAATTAGGTCCAGCTTGAGGCCAAGGACCAGGTCCAGAGCAAGACCAGCCTGGTCGGGAGTTGACTCGCTCTTACTCCCAGGAAGGAGCCCAGCCACCTGCATCCAACTCGGTTGCAGACAGCACACTGGTGAGGGGCTGCGCGGCCGGCCAACCTCCCGCAAACAGTTCCTGACCGTTCGGTACCAGCCGACTACGCACAGGCTGGGGATTCCAGCCGCGCTGGGGAGAAAGGCAACTGGGAGGGCCCGGCGGTCCAATTGCTGAGCAGCTTGGTCCAAAGGACGCTGGAGAGAAGCGTCCTCGTTTATGACTCTCCCCTAAGGCCGCAAGGGTCTTCCTCTCGCGACCCCTGAGCCCTGTCACTTCTCACCGCGCCGGGGGAGTCAGGAAGGCTGGAAACTAAGTGGGGCTGCGAAGAGGGAAAGCGGGGAAGCGCCCGTGGATTCTCTTGTTTGAGGGGCAAAGACGACTGAGGGTGGGGTGGCGGGCAGCTATCCGAATGCAGTAACTTATTTTTACTCGAGCTGCCGTCGGCCAGAGAGAGCAGGACTCCGCGGGGTGCAGACAGGACCCCGACTCCCTCCCGCGCTCGGTCCCTGCAGGCCCAGCCCGCCGCCCACCGGACGCGCCCCACTCACCCGGCTCCTCCGCCTGCAGCCGGCGCGGGGCGGAGATCACGAGCAGCAGAGCCAGGAAGCCGCACCGGGCAGCCCCCGCCAGCGCGCAGCCGCCGCCGCGGACGCCGGCCACCATGGCCCAGCCAGTTGCCAGCTCGGCAGGCTCGGCCTCCCCTCGGCGGGTGCAGCGCCGCCGCTGCCCCGGCCGCACTGCCTCCTCCGCGGCCGAGCACGGCCTCGGGACTGGGCAAAGCTGCCGCCCGGCACCGAATCCCATTGGGGCAGCGGGGACCGGCCGCCGGGGGCGTCTCCCGCCCCGCCCAGCTGGGCCCCGCGCGCCGGCCCCCAAAGGAGGAAGTCCCGCTCCCCAGCGGCCGAGGTCTGAGAGCTCGGAGGCGTACCCGGAGCTCCCGGCTTTCACACTCCTTTTTTCCTCTGTTCCTCCTCCCCCAATGCACTTGAACCTGGGAGCGCGGAGGTCACCTGGCCTTGCCACCAGCTCAGAGGTGCGCAGTGTCCGGGTCCTCCCCAAAGTGCCTAAGCGCAAGGCGGGTGCGCCAGAAGAAGGTGGGCATGCCCCTGAGAGACTCTAAACGCGATGATAGGGTCATGATGATGACAATTAAGACCTAATTCAAGTCCATTCATTGAAAGTTAAGATCCAGCCGTGTGCTGCAAGGCACAGTGCCATTTGCAACTGGTGCCGTGAAGAGTGCTAGTGAAGCGCATTCTGGGGGATTTGATTAGATGGCAGCTGAGGAGACTGCGGGAGGGGCGAGGGGAGGGGGTAGGCATCAACCAGGAAAGACCTTTTAAACAGTGACATCTAAGCTGGGAATCTGAAGGTGAGTGGGACTTAGGTAAGCGGAAGGGCGGGGGGCGGGGGGCGGGGGCGGGGGGCAGGGTGGGGGGGGTTGGACAGAACAGACGCGCGGTGTGCCAAGGACCTAAGGGAGGAAAGGGCCAGCAGGGCCGGCAGGCTGGCTGCAACGGGTAGGTGCATGACCAGCACAGAGCTCGGGCCGGCCACAGCGAGGAGGGACTGGGAGGCCACCTGAGGGATGTTGAACTTGATCCTTAGGGAATGGGCAGCCACGGAAGGTTCAGAGAGAAGGGTGACAAGATCTGACTCTGGGCGGCAGTTTGAAGAAGGGCTTGGGAGAGGGCAACTTGAAAGTAGAGAATTGCAAAGTTATTGAATGGGGAGTGACAGTGAAAATGAACAAGAGACTAAATATATATTTTAAAGACTCCCTGATGTCTCCTGCAGCCTGCAATCCTTCTGCGCTTTCTCCACTTGCTACCCAACACACTGTCTCTGGGTGCCTGCAGCTTTCCTGGCTAAGGTGCAGCCAAGGTTACACCTGTGGGTGCAGAGAGAAGGAAGTAGTGGGGGGTGGGGGAATAGTCCTTCCTAGGTCAAGTACTGGCCTGTCACATACTCTTTGGATACCTGAATAGATTCCTTTCATACACGCATTCCTTTTTTTTCTGTCTATTTTTTACTAAATAAAAACGCTATTGAAATCTCAAATGAGATTGTCTTTGGGGTTATACTTTCTTGGAAGCAGCAAAATTTACAACAAAGAACTTGGACTTTACAAATAAGGCTTATCCAAGTCTGATTCCTGTATCAGTCACTGGTGGGGATTGACTTTCTCTGGGTCTCAGTTTCTTTGGAGAAATACCCAATAAATAGTAGGGTTATCTTTTGTATTGAAAGTAGATTCACGCCTGTAAAAATATCAAATATTCTCACATACAAAACATCAAAGGATACTTCAATATATTAAATCACTTCCTAACTCCAGCTCTCCCTGTTTCTCCATTCTCTTTATTCTTTCTAAGAAGGTGAGTGTGGGCAGGTGCTGTTGGCCTCTAGGTGTGGCTCTGTCGATTATGTATGAGGAAAGACAATAAGAGCATTGATTCTTAGTGAGGAACTCACAGGACAAGGCAGGTGGGTTCCCAGGGTTGACCTTTTCCATTTCAGGTAATACCTTGATAGGAATGAAGTAATGTATTCTACACCACAACAGGGGAGAAATTTAGGATCTGGTAACTATGAGAAAACAAAAGATAAGCTGGATCCTAGAGCTTTTCTTGTGCCATTTTTTCCTTGGAAAATAAAAGAAATTCTCTGGTTAAAAGCATAGTAAAAGAAGAATATGAGACATCCAGTGAAGATGGAGGTATAAGAAGACATTCTTCGCCTCCTTGGACAATGACAGAGAGAACTACAACTAAACCTCAAAACAACACCCAGAACTGTCAGAAAATCAAACTGTATGGAAGTCTGACAACCAAGGATTTAAAGAAGTCACATTCATTCAGACAATTAGGAGAGGCAGATTTGCAGAGACGGGCACAGTGGCGAGGAGGTGCAGTGTGGCATAGAGTGGCAGAATGGACAGTCCCACGTTCATGTGTTGTGGATAAAAATTGGGAGGGATACCTTGGGAGTGAGGATCCCAGCCCCAGGCCAGACCTCACAGCTCAGGGTTCCAGTGCCAGAAAGATAAATCCCATAACTTCTGGCTATAAAAACCAGTGGGAGTTGGGGTGGTGGAAGAAACTGCAGGATTCTCAGGAGACTTTAAAAGAACTTAAAGGGTCTCCATGGTCTTAGAATGTATGTAAACTCACCCATTCTGGGATTCGGCACCAGGGCAACAGCTGGAAGGGCATCAGATGCATATGGAGAGTCGGTAAAATGACTGGAAATGGGGCAAGAACCAAGCAAATCTCCAGAAGCCAGGGAGCAGCACTGTCCCCTCTCTGAGCCCTCCTCCACCCCACAGAGCCACAAAGCAGTGAAGCAGGTTGTCCAATCCTGGTGATTACCTAAGGCTGCCCCATATAGTTTACAGGTGCTTTTTCTATAGTAGACCATGCTAACACAGGGAGTCAAAGCAGCTCTACCTAATACAAAGAAGCAAACACAGGGAGGCTGCCAAATTGAGGAGACAAAGAAATATGGCCCAAATGAAAGAACAAAACAAACCCCCAGAAAAAGAACAAAACAAAATGGGGATAACCAACCTGTCAGATGCAGAGTTCAAAACACTGGTGATCAAGATGCTCAAAAAACTCATTGAGTATGGCAACAACATGAAGGAAGAAATGAAGGTTATACTAAGTGAAATAAAGAAAAATCTACAGGAACCAACAATGAAGGGAAGGAAGCTGGGATCAAACCAACAATTTGGAACATGAAGAAGAAACAAGCATTCAACAAGAACAGCAAGAAGAAAATATAATTCAAAAAAATGAGGACAGTATAAGGAGCCTCAGGACATCTCCAAAGGTACCAACATCTGAATCAGGGATGCCAGGAGAAGAGGAAAAGCAAGAAATTGAAAACTTGAAAAAATCCCTAATTTGGTGAAGGAAATAGACATACAAGTCCAGGAAGCATAGAGAGTCCCAAATAAGTTGGACCCAAAGAGGACCACACCAAGACACATCATAATTAAAATGCCAAAGGTTGAAGATAAAGAGAGAATCTTAAAACCAGCAAGGGAAAAATAGAGGTACCTATAAAGGAGTTCCCATAAGACTATCAGCTAATTTCTCAAAAGAAACTTTGTAGGCAAGAAGGGACTGGCAAGATATATTCAAAGTGATGAAAAGCAAGGGCCTACAACCTAGATTACTCTATCCAGTAAAGCTATCATTTAGAATGGAAGGACTAAATGAAGTGCTAGCTAGTCCAGTAAAGTGCTATCTAAACAAGGCAAAGCTAAAGGGGTTCATCATCACCAACCCATTATTACATGAAATGTTAAAGGGACTTATTTAAGAAAAAAAGATCAAAACTATGAACATTAAAATGGGGACAAATTCACAACTATCAACAACTGAATCTAACCCCCCCCAACAACAACAACAACAACAACAACAACAACAACAACAACAAACCTAGGGAAACAATCAGAACAGGAACAAAATCATAGGTATGGAGATAAATTGGAGGGTTATCAACTAGGAGAGACAAAGGAGAGAATGGGGGGAAAGGTACAGGGATTAAGAAGCATAAATAGTAGGTACAAAATAGACATGGTGATGTTAATAATAGTACAGGAAATGGAGAAGCCAAGGAACTTATATGCATGACCCATGGACATGAACTTAGAGGGGGGATTGCTGGAGGGAAAGGGGGTACTGGGTGGAGAGGGCAAAGGGGCAAAAATTGGGACAACTGTAATAGCATAATCAATCAAATATATTTTAAAAATAAATATATGAAAATATAGCAGTTATCGATTATATTCTATATATAATAAAATAAATAAGCCAGGTTAAACTGATGTATTGTGCTTCAACCACAGAGATGTTTATTCTGAGTATGTATACCTGTTTTATTCTTGAGAAAATTTCATTTAATTTTTGTGCTATAATGCCTATGAGATCTCAAAACTTTATATTAATTAATTTTTTTCATTAAGAGATTATGTAATTTTTCACTAGAAATTAGGATTGGATCCATCCACAATATGCCACATACTAAGATTCAAGAACCACTTATCATGTAGAACATTTTTCTGGAAGGGTCTCTCACCAGGCTATTTCACATTTTAACCCCTCCCCTTACTTATCACCTAATCTTTCCTCTTTTTTTGTATATCTTACTGTAATTTATTTTTATATTTGCTAGCTCTCCTATAAAGCTAGAAAGCAGCTGCTCAGGGCTGCCTTGATTTTTACATAAAATATGTATTCCATATTGCTTAGGTAAGATAGAATTTAAATAGAACTGCAAGCCTAGTATTATTCTACAGTAGTAGCTTTAGATTGTGGTTCAATTTGACAATCTAATTAATTTCATCTTCAGCATTTAGTAATGCTGACTGTTACTCTAGGAAGAAGACCAAATGAGATAAAAATTTGAACCCCTTATCGATGTCTACTTCCTGAATACTCTCCCTTTTCCAGTTGAACTCATAAATATATTTAAAACATTTTCTGTATGTGAAACAATGTGATGGAGATACACTGATAGCAAATACAGGTGCTCCTCTCTCCTTCATTTGTGGTCTAATAATAGAATTCTGAGAAAAGTAGTATGGGTTGATAAGTACCATGATAAAAGTTCAGGGTGTTATAAAGTCACAGAGGAAGGGCAGAGAACTGGATTTCGAAAGCCTGAGAGGGTGTGGGAGGGGTGAAGATAGTAATTAGAAGGGAAATAATGTTTGTCAGATGAGGAGAAGAGCTTGTGAGAAAGGTCCACAGTAGAAATCACAGGGTGCTTGTACGAATTGAGCCTAATTCGTGGGGGCAGGAACAGTGAGCCTGAGACAGAGGTGGGAGCCTGAAGGCAGAGTGGGAGGCAGGAGCAGGATCTGAGGGCACGGGAGGCAAGGACAGTGGAGGAACTTGTTCAGATTTGCCATTTTGAAAGAACC